GGCTTTAGCCAGCAAATGCATTCCCACAGAGCTCAGTGCCCAGGTACTGAAGCACACACTTGTCAGAGTAGCGGGTGACAGATGAGAGCATTATGTGACAATCTGGGGAATATGGCTAAACCAATGTCTAATATACGTTGCTTCTACAGGAAAAGAAAAAGACTAGGACTTGCTCTTCTCTCCCACACACCCTGAATAGCACACAGAACGCCTGAACCAGAGATAGCAAATCTAAAATAAAGATGTACCGCTCTATCACCTTCACCAAATGCACACACATACACGCACGCACACACACACACACACACACACAAACAAGCACACACACACACGTGCATGCACACACTAAAAGGAAAGCCTTATGTCTCTGGAACCAAGCAATGTAGCAGAATCAGAGATGTGAGGGCAAGGATGTGGGAATCCAAGCAGCCCGCCTGTCAGACCCCAGAAACTAGGGAACTTTAAACATCACAGTAAGGACACTGACTTGGACATCCTGGGTTTTTTTTTGTTTGTTTGTTTGCTTTTGTGAAGGCCTGCTGAATTTCCTCAAAGGGATATGAGTCCCTCTGGTGACAAGGAGGAATAATACAATAAAAGGGATATATCTGTAAGGCCCTCAATTCTTGACCTCCCTTGTTGTAAAAACACTTCCAAAGTAAAAACCAAACTTGTATTCCCCACAGCCTACCCACAGTGCCTGCACCATTGCAAGTACCCAGGAAATGTCCCCTGAATAAACAAATGAACAAACTGCACATTACAACACATGCTGAGTCAACTGGCACTGGGTCACTGCAATCGCAGGCAATTAAAACAAACGAGAAATGACTCTCAGGGCCAAACTTGTCAGCGTTCGTGCACAATAAGACACAGTGAATTCATATGCCTCTATTCAGACAGGCATTGTCTCCCCCTGAAATGCTTAAAAGCAGGCAGTGAGACGGCAATCAATGTTTTTGGCATGAGCAAAGGATGGTTTGAGCACATCCAAAAGAGAGCTGATGGCTTACCATTGGAAAGAATTCAGGGAATGCTATAAAATCTAGGACTGTGGGGTAGGGGGCCACTGCAAAGCTTGGAGTCAGGGCACATCTATAAACAGGGCCGCAGTATTTCCCACGGACTTTGTAGTTGTCCACGACATGAGAATAATGGGAAATAGCCACACACAGTCCCAGGGACTGAAAACCTTAACTTAATGCTTACAAGCTTACCAACTTGGATGACATTGACCTGGCCCTGTGCAAAATTGCTTTTATTGAATGGGGCATTGTCAGAGATTCTGTGTACTGCTCAGAGAACTCTTTATAAAACCCACCAGAGGCAATACTTCCCTCAGGCCTGAGTGCTGGCAAAGCTGTCCTCTTATCTTAACATGTTCATCTTACAGACACTGGAGACCTTGTAACTGAATTTCCCTTTTTACTTGCACTGCCAGGAGCTACCAGCTGAAGTTAAGTCCCCCTCTTCAGTACTGTGGCGGGTATCACAACCTGCATTTCTACTTACTGATTCCATTTCACCAGTCACCTTATTTTTCCTTCACCCTAATGCCTTTATTTTCATTTTTAATTTCATGACTATCCATAAACCTCTGAAAATGTTTTTAAAAGAGGTTACAATTTTTGAAGCTTCAAATAACCAGAACACTTTAAGCTGGATATTCTTGTTTCTCCCAAAACAACATACACTCTCACACCTCTGTACCTTCAACTTCCGTGCAAAACCCACTGCTCTCCCTTGCCTATCTAACAACCTTAAACTTGAACTTCAGAACCAGTTCAGAATTACTTTCCCCAGAGCCTGCTCTGATCCTGCAAGCACTTCCTTCCTCCGTGCTCCCGTGGTACTTTGTATCTCAGTATGGAACTGTCCCCATGCCAAGTTGAGGGCCTGCTAACTATGTGAATGTTCCTTTCCTTTGCCAGGGCAGAAACACTACGAAGTCTGGTTCTCTGTTTGTTTGTTTCAATCCAAAGCACCAGCAGTAGCAGCTGGTGAGTGGAGGGCTCCAGTGAACAGAACAAGCTGATGGGACATGCGAGGCCGGTGGTTGTGCTCTGCCTCTGCATGCACCTAGCACCCTAAGGCAAAAACACCACCCCAAGATGTCTCCCCAGACTCTGCAAGCCAGTGACCCCAAGATCAGGCCTAAAACATTCATATGAGATGGACACAACCAAATTCTTAAAATATGACCAGAACTTAAATAGAGATACCTGTGATGCAATACATACACAAAAGGCAAGAAACCAGAGCCATATGACCTTGTCAGAAACATATGTATGACGTAGAGAAGTAGTCACGAGATGCTCAGAAGCTGAGTCACAGACACGCTCACCTGAGGAAAGCACTGAGAGTGCACAGCTGTCGTTCTGGTCTGCCCAGTGCCATGAAACAAAACAGTGCTTTCGCTCATGCCCCGCAACTAATCCCTGTGTCTCTCTCACATCAATGTTTCTCTCACTCGATGGTTCTCTCTCTCTCTCTCTCTCTCTCTCTCTCTCTCTCTCTTCCCCTCCCCCTCCTTTCCACTCCCTCTAAAAATCATTGGAAAAAATATCCTCAGGTGACAATTAACAAAATAAAGAAGTCAGCTCTCAGAGAGACAGAGACTGGGTCCTGGCAGTGTCCCAGTCATCCATCCTTCCAGCAATTTAGTTACAAGGCAATAAATGTCCCTTTTTGCCTAAGAATGCAGCTTTTCATCAACAGCAGCCCAACATTATTTTAGAAACACCAGAGTTTACGTGAATAAGTGAATTTTGGGACCAACAATGTCTGACAATAGAGAGATAGTTAAATACCCTTTTGATATAGTTTTCTAGCTATTTATTGCCAAGAGTAAGTTATAGTGTAAAAAAAATTACATATTTCACATATGAATATATATATATATATATATATATATATATATATACACATATATATGTTTCCCCATCCAAATTTTATTGAATATTTTTATGATGGCAGTGAAGGAGAAAGAAAACAAACTACTTTAAACTGGAAAAAAAAAAACCTGTTATACCACAGGTTTTGTTAACCTAAAAATTTGTGAGGGATATAAAAATTGACTATGAAAACTGCACCTCTGTAAAAGGACCCTCTGGCCAGTCTCATCCTTTCCTCATCCACAAAGGCACACTATTCAGATCTCCCTCTTTTCAATCAACTCAAGTATCCTCTCCTCCTGGAAGGCCTCCCTGACTACTCCATCCTGCAAGGATCTTTTGCACTGACTATATAAACTACATTAATTAGCTCTGGATTTCAAACTACTCTGCATTTTGTCATGTATAACATTTTCAACTCACTTAGAAAAATAAAACTTTCAGAGGCCATGCCTTGTATTTCCATCAGCATCTACACCAGGTATATTTGGTGTTCAATAACACTGAATAAATACAGGGAACAGGTCTTTTAATAACACTCAACAAACTGGTACTCTCCAATATTGCTGGTGGCAACATAAACTGTACCAGCCTTTTGGACAAATAATTTGTCAGCATGATTAACTAGTGAAAAATATTTGTACCAATTATCTCATTCCTCAGAATATCTCTAGGGATTTCAAGAGAAAATGCCTTAATGATCAAAGATGTTCACTGTAGCATTATTTAAACAGCTAAAATGTCCAACAGAGGAGGAAATTATTAAGTAATCATGTGAAATCTATTCAGTGAGGGGTATGCACCATTCAACCTAATTACTCTGGAATCTATACAACATGGGAGATGTCATAACAAAGAAAGTGACCTGAGGAGGTGTTCATGATAAGGGAAGTGACATGGGGACATGCCCCAGGTGACCAAAAAACACTGACAGTACTTAGCCTCTGATTAGATTGGGGGTCCAGCTGTACCAGCACGGAAGGGTGATCTTGAAAAACAAGAGTTACTTCACTGGAATGGTAGGTGACAATTTCTTAATTATCTAAATTTCCATTATTGCTCTCTAATGTTCATTAAAGTTTTTGTTAAACTATACAAACATTGCATTTCAATTCTTTCGTCAGCATTACCATCAAGATTTCAAATTATGGATCTTGGTGTCCCTGCCAAGAGCAGTCCCCAGAGAACTAACCTCTGATACCTATAGTCTCTCTTCTGAGCTCTCTACTCTGATTCTTCCTGCCCCAGCTTCCCGTGCAGGTAATCCCATTAACCTGAGTGCCTGGGACCTGAGTTACTCCAATCCGACCCTCTCCTACCTGACCGCACCAAGGCTTGTGTATCTGGATGTGACTCTCAAGATGCTGAATACTTAAGTTTAAATACAATAAAAATTCTAAAAGATAAATTATTTTCTTCTTTCCAAGTTCAGAGATTTCTTTTTTTATGCTAACACCCAATGCTGAATAGAGTAGCCTTTAAAAAATCACTCAAGCCCTAACCGGTTTGGCTCAGCGGATAGAGCGTCGGCCTGCGGACTCAAGGGTCCCTGGTTCAATTCCAGTCAAGGGCATGTACCTTGGTTGCGGGCACATCCCCAGTAGGGGGCGTGCAGGAGGCAGCTGATCGATGTTTCTCTCTCTCATCGATGTTTCTAACTCTCTATCCCTCTCCCCTCCTCTCTGTAAAAAATCAATAAAATATATATATTTTTTAAATCACTCAAATTGTAGCACATCCAGGCGATGAAATATTATGCTTGTACACACACACACACACACACACACCCTGTTTTTGAAGAACATTCATAACATGGCAACACACCAAAGAGAGAACACAGAACTTAAAAAACTGACACAAAACTGCATTTTCAGCTTGATACCAATGCCTGTGGAGTTGGGGGAGAAAGAGTATAGAGGGAATGAAACATCAACTAGTTAAGACATCAACTGGTCATTTCTAGGTGATCAGATGAGTGAAGTATTTCTTCTTTAAATTTTTCAAATTTTCTAAGTTTTCTGCAGTGAATCTCCCTAAAACCATGAACGTGGGACAGCCCCAGCCCGCTGCACTGCCCGCTATTTCAGAAGGGAACGGGGTGCTCACATGGATGGTGCAGTCTCTCTTGCTCTTCTCTCGATGGGCTGCTTCCAGGTCCTTTTCTAGTCTCTCCTTCTCCTGCTGCAAGTCGCTCAGCTCCTGGGTGACTTTCTTAATGTTCCTACGCAGTCTGTGGTTCTCTGTACTCTTGGTGAGGTTTTCTGAGTGCAGCTCAGCCAAAAGAGCTGCCTTTTCCAACAGAGCAGCTTCATAATCTTCAGACCCCTAGAAGAGGGGGGTGGGGGGGAAACAGCTAATTTTCATAGCTCATTAAACAAACCAAGAAATCTGTGCTCTTTCACCTTGCAGGGAGGGGATTAATATAAACATCATTCAGGACCTAGAGCACAAATAATATGAAGATTTTGAAATAACTTAGGGTAATGTTTATATTATGGTGTTGATGTTAAAGGGAAGGTCTACAACTGTGTAAAAAAAACTTTAAGACTAGAAGGAAAAGTACAGAAAGTTAACAGTAACTTTCATGGGGTGGAAACACAGTGACTTTTTTCCTTCACTACTCTGTATTTTCAAATGTTCTAAGGTTAGTGAGTATGTAACTTTTATAATGATTTTTTTTCCTTTGAAATATAAGAACTTTTTTTGGTAAAGTTTTATTTTTTTTAATTTATCTTTATTGTTGAAAGTATTACAGATGTCCCCTTTTTTTCCCCATTGACCCCCCTCCACACCACACCCACTCCCCCGCCCCCACAAGGCCTTCATCACACTATTGTCGGTATCCCTGGGTTATGCAGATATGCATATAAATTCTTTGGTTAATCTCTCCCCCCACACACACCCCACCTCTGCCTTCCTTCTGAGGTTCATCAGTCTGTTCCATGCTTCTATGTCACTGGATCTTCTTTGTTCATCAGTTTATTTTGTTCATTAGATAATAATTTTTTAAAAAACTATTTTATATATATATTTATTTATTTTTAATTCTCACTGAGGACATGACTAGAGAGAGGAAGCGGGGGGAGAGGGAGAGAGAGAAACATTGATATGAGAGAGAAATATTGATCGGCTGACTTCCATATGTGTCCCAACTGGGCATTGATCAACCCCTTTCAGAGCACAGGACAATGCTCAACCAAGTGAGCCACTCTGGCCGGGCCAGTTTAAGTAGAATGATGGTTCTATTATTAGAGACCACTGAGTTTTCCTCCATTCCTTTCAGCTATGAAGTCCTGACCTCAGCAGGAGAAAGGATCAAAGAGAGAACTTCTTCACCCTGAACACTTACCTGGACTTTCTGAGTCTCTGGTTTCTGGCGGGCCTCTTTGACTTTAGCAAAGGCAGCATTGAGCTCTTCGATTTCAGAGTTAAGTTCTTCAACCTGGGTAAAAATAAGGACTAGCAGCCAAGTGTGCAACTGGGCTCCTCCTATCTCCCATGGCCCAACCGCTTTAACAGCTGGATTGTGCTTATAATCAAGGGCTTTGTAGTCAGAAAAAGCCTGAAGTCAGAAAAGTGGGATTTCTAGTTTGGCTGTTTACTAGCTGGATGACTCAAGGCACAAAAGTTAATCTCTTTGAGACTCAATGCCCTTACCTATAAAATGAAGATACCATTGCTCACCTAACCTAGCATTGTTGACGAGGTAATGTGCAGTGGTGCTAAAACCATGTTTGGCTCATACTGTCACTATAATTATTATTGTCATATAGATGAGCCACCCAACAACCTAGCCTGGCTACTCCCATCTACCCAGAGACAGCCAATAGCTACCAAGTTACACCTGGACTTTGCCAGCACCCAGAACTGCTCCACCACTGGGCCCTGAACTCCAACACAAACTACAGCTACTATTACTAGGAACCAGCTCTCTGCTGCATCTGACAGTGGTGATTACTCAAACTCATTCTCTCCTTTAGCTTCTTCAGCACCAGTTTCCTGGTTGGCTTCATTTTCTACAGCCACTCCTTCTTCCGTCTTCTTTGTGTATTCCTCTTCTTGTACCTTCAATTCTGATGTCCCCTGTGGTCCAATCTTCAGTCTTCTTTCCCGCTCTACACTCTCCCTGGATAAGGTGATCAGCTCTCAGAATTTTAACTCACATCTGTTGAAGAGGGACTCTCCGATCTATACCTTCAGGCCTAATGAGCTCTCTCTCCAAGCTTTAGACTTGCAGATCTATCGTCTCCTGGACATCTCACCTGGATGGTCCACAGACTCCTCAAAGTCAATACTTTCTAAAAGTCTCATCACTTCCATCACTACCTCCCATCCCACCATCATCCTCCATTTTCCATGCTGAGTTGGTGGCAAGACCATCTCTCTAGTGGTGCAGGCCAGAAGTCATCCTGGATTGGTCCTTCTCTCCATTCCTACTTCTAATCTTTAATTAATTATTTCTTTTTTAGATTGTATTTTTAATTTTTATTTTATTTTCAATTAGAGTTGACATGCAATATTATTTTATATTTGTGTCAGCTATACAGCATAGTCATATACTTTTAATTAATTGTTTCTAATTTTATTTCCTGAATTAGCCCCACCCCACCACTCTTGCTTGCTGTGACCACTGCTCTAATGCAGCCTTTCTGAATTAGGTGGCTCTCACCTTGGCTACTGGCCTCCCTGCATCTATTCTCTCCCTCCTACAACCCACTCTCTGGATACAGGCAGAGACCTGGCTAAAATGCAAATGTGATCACACCTATCCCACTTAAGAGTTTTCAGTGGAGTGTCACCCAAGCAGTGAAACATGAATAGATCCACCACCACCACTGGTCCCTGGCAACCTCTCCAGCCTCTTCTCTCACCTCACTTAAGTTCTGCACTTGATGCTCTGATGACCTCAAACTGATTTTGGTTCCACAAAAACATATCAGGCTCTTTCCCCACTGAATGCCTGACCAATGTTCTCCCCTCTGTATGAAATGGCCTCCTCTTTTCTGTCCTCCTTCCCAACCAACACCTACTCATCCTTTAAGATTCAGCTCAAACACCTGCTCCTCGAAGCACCAGCCCCCCTTCCCAACCCTAATCTGGATTAGGACCCCTTTGCCCCGCCTCACAGGCCTACGCTTCCCTCAATCACAACACCTTCATTGTCTTTCTTCCCCACTAGGCTTGTGAGCACAGCTAGATTTTGCTTCTCTGTTTCTGTGCCTCCAATTGAGACACAAGATTCCTACACCAATGACAAGAAAACAGCACAGAATCACCAGCCACCACCTTGGGTCCCAAAGACAACAGCCCACGTACCTATCTAACTACCTTGGCCTTGCCCCCGCAAAACTCCTGTATCTCCATTTTCTGTTGTCTTTCAAAAGATTAGACCTGCACTGTCCCATACGGTAGCCACAAGTCACCTGTGGCTACTGGGCACTTGAAATGTGGTTAGTCTGACTTGAGATGTGCTTATAAGCATATCTGGACTTCAGATTTATTAAAATGTTAAAGCCCTAAGCAGGTCTGACTCAATGGATAGAGCATCAGCCTGCAGACCAAAGAGACCCATGTTTGATTCCAGTCAAGGGCATGTACCTTGGTTGCAGGCTCCTCCCCGGCCCAGGCCCTGGTCTGGAGGCAACCAATCAATGTGTTTCTCTCATATCAATGTTTCTCGCTGTATTTCCCTCTCTCGTCCACTCTCCCTAAAAATCAATGGAATATAATCAGGTGAGGATTAACAAAAAATAAAAAAATAAATGTTAAATACCTCTTTATTAATTTTGTTCTGTTGATTGGATGTTGAAATGATATTTATCATATATATTAGCAAATATATCTGCTTCTTTTAATGTGGCTACTAGTAAATTAAAATTACATATGTAACTCACATATTTGCATTGGACAGTGTTGGATTAGACATTCCAAAAGAACTTCTAATTGACTACAGGATCCCTACCCCACTTTCTACAGTCATCTCAGCTCTTTTACAAACTTTTTCCTTAAAGCTAAAAAATCAGGGAAGGACAGGCCAGGCACAGAAGCTAATAAAGAAAAATCTCACTTGAGATCTAGCAGACATACCTCTTTTTCCTTGGACTTTAATGCCATGGTTAGACCCTGAATGGCTTTATCCCTCTTTAAACTATTTTTCTTTTCTGTAGCAATTTCTCTTTCCTTCTCTCTCAGGTCCTCCTGAAGTGCCTAAATTAGATTAGAAAAAGATTCACTAAGTTGATGTGTTCCAACCAAAATGCACAGTATATATCTTTAAGAGCACACTCAAATGCAGTTATTCTATCTTATTCCTGTCAGCCTGTGATTAATGTCTCCAAGTAGAGCTGAATGTAGTGGCATCAGCTCCAAGTTACTGTATTACCGCTCACGGCAACAGGGCTGGGTGAAAGGAAGGGGAGCAGATCAGTTAAGAAGATGACAGCTATTCCTACAGGAAGGACTCCAATGCCTTCTGGAAGTTGAATACAGTCACATCAGAGTCTTTGAAATCATACCAGTTATTTGGGGGGAAATAACAGATCATTAATATCATTCCTTAATGCTACAAAAGCTAGCAGAGAATTTGGTTTGATGGAGACTGAACATATACATTTATAGTCTGAATTCACGTCTAAAGATACTCACTGCTGCCTCCCTCCCAGGCTGTCGTGAGGATCAAATGAGATAATGGATGTGAAAGCACTTTCTAAGTCGGCAGGTGCTACACAAATGCCAGCTGCTGAGACTGAGGGACCATGGAGCAAGGGCTTTGGAGTCAGACTGGCAAGTCTGAATCTCTGCTATACTCCAAGCTACGTGACCTTGGGTAGGGACCTCACCGCTCTGAGCCTCACATGTCACATCTGCACGATGGGCATGCCTGCTTCACGGAGTTATTACAAAGACTGAGAACCCCTCTCCACAGTGCCTAAAGCTTGACTGGCAGAGAGTAGCATTCAATGAGTGACAGCTATTGCCACACAGAATTATCTATTGCACTCAGAATAAAGCAAGAGGCAAGGATAAATCTTCAACACATTTTTAAAACTGTATCAACATACCTGGATCCTCTCTTCAAAGCGATTTCTCTCCGTCTGGCGCTCCACTTGTGCAGCCTACGAAAAGACATTAATTGGTGCCCAGAAGGGACCCATAATCCAATAGCTTTCCCCGAACAATTAGAATGAGCACCTCATTTACTTGCTGTTCCCCCGGCTGTGGAACTCACCCAAAGTCCCACCCAAGTGAAGAAAAATGTAAAGATGACCACCAGCCCCATAGAGAGTAAACCAAGGGGCGACTGGACAATGAAAAGGGCCTTCGAAAGGACAGGGCCAAGGAAGTGAGACAGGGTTCAAAGAAGCAGGAGACAAAGCAGCAGCCTGAAACTCATAGGTGAGGCTAAGGAAGTCACTGCTGTGTTAGGGACAAAGGAGACCCTGCTCCCTAACGAAGCCAAGACTTCCATGAGCATCCAGAATGTCTCTAAGGTGAACATACCACATGCAGCAGCACCCGTGGTCCCACAGGAATGGGAAGGCCTGACTAGGCCTACCTGCCCTTCCAGGTCGTGCCCACCCTCTTCAAAAGAGCTTGCTGTGGAGGCCGCCTAGTGTGGGGAGGGGTCCCGGGAGGCTTTGGGATCAGTGCTAGTAACCCACCTCTTAGAGCCTAGGAAAATATAACAACAACTCTGAGCTGAGCCTGTTTCTAAACTCAATGAGGGACCGTGATCCCAGCCTTGGAAGGTGTGCAGGCGGATGAGATGAAGGGCACACGGAGTCTCTTTGTGTGCAGCACACCCGACAGGGCAGCTGCCTGTCCCCACTGCCTCTGCAGTTTCAGAACACTGTTGGCCTTAAGCTGCCTCTAACCACAAAAGGTGAAATGAGAAAGTAACACAATTTTATCCTAAGAAAATCCAAAGGATGAAAATAAGATCAAGTCCCCAGACAACAGCAAATGAACACATCATAAAACAGAGGCAAGCAGGTATGGACCGGTTTTTTAACCAACTCTGTGAACACAAAGCTGGAGGGAAAAAATATGCCAGGCCCCTGACAGGAAGTTTCTGCTGATCTCAGCTGACAGGGCGATGATATTCAGAAGCAGACTGTGGGTGAGCCAGGGGCCTGCATGTGCGTCCCATGGCCCGTGCAGTCTGGTGTGCTAACTAAAGTCCCCTCCACGTCCTGTGGCCTCACCACGGTTTCTCTCTCCTTTTCAGCCCTGCGAGCAGCAGAAAGCCCTCGGAGCTCTCCAGATGACACATTCTCAGCAGCAGGCACCATCTGAGATTTCTCCTCTCTCAGGCGCTGAATTAAAGCTTCTTTGCTCTTCAAAGACAGCCTCAACTCCTCAATCAGTCTAAAAGAGAACAGATTTCAATATTAATTCCACACTGCTCTCTCAGCTCAGTGGAGCAGGAGGAGGTAGAAAATGGGGCCAGACATCTTCAAAGTAGACATGTCCAGTGACTGAACATGAACGAAATCGCATCGGAGACTAAGGGCCAGAATCTGTGTGACATTAACTGTCTCCTCACCTCCAGCCTGGCCCCGGGCGATCCACCCTCCGAGCTACTGGACTATGGTCTGACTGAGTCACACCCCTGCTTGATCGTTCAACGGTCCCCACCACTGACAGCTGTGGATTACTAAATTTTTCCAGCCAAGAAATCTTCTCTCCAAAAGAAATCTGGCACTGAAGGCTAAACAAACATGACCGATAAAGCAGAAATATTCTGGTAAATGTGAAAAACAAAGAACGTCTCTCCGAGGCGTCTCAGGGCAAAGTTTAAAATATACTGACTTTCAAGATGAAGAAAAAACTCCTGGGCAGGCAGTGGAGCCCGAGCTTTTAGGGCCGAGATCAGAGGCCCTGCTGAAGCTTCGGCATCACCTCTCACAGGAAAAACCCCCCACCCCACCCCCCATCGCCCTCGGGAGCCACACTTCCAGATCTCTCCAGAAGCCAGGCTGTGCTGGGCCTCTAGACCAGGGGTGGGCAACCCCTGGCACACGTGCCAAACATGGCACGCATGCCAAACACGGCACACCAGTAACTTTTGCTGGCACGCGAAACCCTCTCTTATAATCTTCCATTTACAATTTTTTTCTTAATATCGACTTGTTTATTTTTCAGATAAATTCAGTGTAGGTGCATCTTAGATAAATAAATAATTTTACATAACAAGTTATCTTAAAGACCATAGACATGGATTGATGAGAGAGGGGAAGAGCAATTTCTATGCCTCTGCCTTAACTCTCCCTGCCTTCCTAGATCCGACCAGTGTTTTGGTTTCATCCACATACGCTTGTGAATCTTTGTTCTCAGTGATGAATTTTGTTAAGTCTCGTAATAGGAGTAGCCTGACCTGACGGATGAAAGTAGTAGCTCGTGCATATCTCTGAAGGTCACGAAATATAAACCTGATGTAAAATCTCTGTCATCAGTGATGCAGCAGAAAAAGTCCCACTGATAATATCAAACAGAGTCATAAAGTTTTCTGTCGGACTATCAGTGTACATGTATACATTAAAAAATAAATGTATTTTTCATCATCATATACTGTGTTTTTGTCGCTCAAATGAATTTTATTATTTCTTCAAAGTTCTTCACATACGTACACCTTAAGAGATATCAAGTAGGCGTAACATGTTCTCAAAAAATTAGGGCTGGCACGCAGAAGAATTTTGAGTCAGAGATTTTGCTGGTTTTGGCACGCACTCACAAAAAGATTGCCCACCCCTGCTCTAGACCTTTGTTCCCACAGCTCCTGTACCTAGAGTGCCCTTAACAACTCCACCGCCACCTCCACCTGCTAGACACCCATCATACACCAGACTTCATTAGGGATTATTCTCGGGGAAGCTTTGCCAGTCGACACCCCGAGGCCACCAAATTCCCTCTATTAACTGTTCCCTGACAACAGTCAAATTATTTCAGCTCTAAGCCTGCATCTCCTCAGCTATAAAGTGGGGATAACTTGCTTAGTGGGAAGTGGGGATAACTTGCTTAGTGGGAGGGAGATAAGCTTTTTAAAAGGGCCCTCCACAGCTCCAGGCATATGGCAGAACTCAACAAGTGACAGTTGCTATAATTAGTACTTTTTTTAGCATTCAGTGATTAGCATTTTGTCAAAAGACCTTAAGAGTGTTTGTAGCTAAGCCTAAAAAGCAACTTACTGTGGCAGAAAGAGGATAGGTGCCCGGGTGCAGGTGAGGAGGGAGCCAAAAGCAGCTCAAGCACCTGGCGCACTGTCTGAACATCGTGTGTCCCCAAAAATGTTGACATTAGGAGGTGTCATTTGGGACGCATTGGGGAGAAAACAAGGTCATGACAGTGGAGCTCTCGTAAATTGGAGTGATGCCTTATAAAGGAAGCTCTAGAGAGATCCCTTGGTCCTTCTGCCAGGCGGGGACACAACGAGAAAGAGGACCTAAAGGGGCCCCTCACCTAACCACGCTGCACCCTGACCTTGGACTTCCAGCATCCACAACTGTAAGAAATAAAGGTATTATTTATAAGCGATCCAGTGTGTATTATTTTGTTATGGCACCAAATGGACTAAGACAACTGGATACAGCGAGAACTGGCAGGGTCAATACAACACCCCCCAAAACTAGGAAAGAGAAGTAAGAGTGCCCTCTAGGGGCTCAACTCTGAAATCATCATATAATCCACTGGAGAGGTAAAGGCACCAAACTGTACTCGAAAACGCATGTGTTGCGTTGTGTGTACCTTCCACCTCGATAAAACTCTTTTTTTAGGTCCTTACAGCAAGGTGCAGCTAGGGATGGAAATGAGCGGGGCAGGCCTGCTCGGACTGCGGCCCAGCAGGAGCGCCGGGCCACCTGAGGGAGCGGCCGCACCCCAGCAATACCACGGCCCATCCTCCCACACCTCTCAGGTTTGCGAGAGAATCTGGAAATTCAGATTCTTACATAAAATTAGATGTTTTTAGTTAAACTCTAAAAAAAACACAAACAGATAAAACATCCAAAGGCCAAACTTGACTGCAGGGCTCTTCACTGTCAACTACCTTAAAGATACAGACTAACTTCAAGGTCAGATTGAAGGAAATCAAGTAGCTAAAGTGCACACCTTTGAAAAGGGTGGTGGGGGCCCAGAAAGACAAGGACATCCTCGTGAGGGCCCTGCCCAAAGGCGGGCCAATCTGTGTGGCCAATCTGGATCCACCTCACCAGGGCATGACGGAGACCCTTATTCCAATTCTTTGCTCAGCACTCACCTTCTCACATGGATTTAGCTTCCTAGATAGGCCTGCCTTCAGGGAGGACACACTGACCTTAGACCAGGGGTGGGCAAACTTTTTGACTCGAGGGCCACAATGGGTTCTTAAACTGGACCAGAGGGCCGGAACAAAAGCATGGATGGAGTGTTTGTGTGAACTAATATAAATTCAAAGTAAACATCATTACATAAAAGGGTACGGTCTTTTTTTTTTTTTAGTTTTATTCATTTCAAACGGGCCGGATCCAGCCCAAGGGCTGTAGTTTGCCCACGGCTGCCTTAGACCCAGGAGAGCTCCACCAGAGGGCCGCGCCCAGAGCGAGCAGGAACCCTGAGTAGGCATCTGGCTGCTCTTAGGTCTCTGGGAGTGTGGCTGGGACACACCTACCCCTGGGACAGCCGCATTCGCAGTGCTGACAACTCAGGTTTCTGTCCCTATGCAGCCAGACTCTAGGAAACCCCAGGAAGACGAAGCCTTTCACAAGGCCCTGACCTGACTACCCACGTCCATGGAGACCCCACCGCTTGGGCTGGTAAGAACTCAACAAGCATTAATCCTTCCCAAATTCCCTTTTCCAAACAGATGAGAATCCAAGTCTCATCGGGGACCACTTTCCTCTGTAATTACCTTGAAATGAGCCAGACTCCACACCTTTGCACTTGCCGTTCCCTCGCGTGGCAAGGCTTCCTCACCCAACTCCCAGCACTCCTCCTCTGAGAAGCCTTCCCTGCTCCTCACCCAAGCAGAGCTCCCTCCCCTCTGTCACAGCACAGAACCCTGAACTTACCTCCAGCACCATCTTCCCTTTACATCTGTCCCCTCCTACACTTGGGAACTCCCTATAAGGAAGACAGTGCTCCCCTTTGCATTCCTGGCACCCAACCCAGGCCATGCTCAGTAGGTGGCTAATGAATGAATGTTTATCTCCTCTAATCTGGGCCTTGATCTGTATTCCCAAGTACCGCCTGGACTCTCCTCTTGGCTAGCACAATCCTTCAACCCAACATGTCCCAACTGAAAGCTCATCTTCCCACCCCCTCTACCCAAAAACATCTTTCTCCCTTTCTGTCCCACACTCAGCCAACTGCAATACCATCCCACCACTGCTCATCTGGGTGAGGGAGTATCTCGGCAGCCTTTTCCCTCAGCCCCAAATCCAATACGCCACCAAGCCCTTCAAGCCAACATGTGATTGACTCTACCTTCTAAATATCTTATTCTTCTCCATCCCTAGTTCTGACACCTTAGTCCAAACAGCACACATTTTATTCCTGGACCATCAAAGAGCTCTGTACTTGGTGTGCATTGTTTTGGCCCCTTGCACTGTACAAACCTGGGCCCTCAGCCCACATTAAAAGACATGCCAGAAACAGGTCACACAAACTGCACTGGTATTTATTGTGGGGATGTAGACATTAACTGTTCCCTACAAGAAGATCCACAAGAGAAGTGTCTAAACAATGTCAAGTAAAACTGGGCGTCTCCTGAGTTACTAACTTGTTTTATTTTATGAACAATGTGAATCTTATGTCCATCAAGATGGTTTTTCCCTCTTTCCTTTGACTACCAGGAAGCTTACAGCCAAAACTGAATGCTAAATTTAGTACCTGAGTAGCAAATTCCAGCATGAATTTCTATCTACTACCTCTCTCTCTGTCCTCACATTCCTAGTTTCCTTACTGTGGGGAACCAGTAGGAAAGGGGTGGGAAAAGGACTGCCAGATAAATGACTGCCAGGGTATCACAGGGACAAGAGCCAGACCTGTCTTTCTCTTCCAGGACCAGAGCCATGTCCAAGTCCCCCTCGTGCATCTTCTTCATCTCTGAAAGCTTGTTTTCCAAGCTCAACCGAAGAGCCTTCTCCGTTTCTGTCCCTGCAAAGGCCTTTTCCAGTTCTGCTTGGGCGGCTTTCACATCCTAGAGTTAAATTAAATGCATTTGATGCAATTTTTCAATACAATTGGGAACACTTTGAAAGGAAATTGGATTAAAATATAAATATTTATGACTTTTTCTCCGGCACATTTCCCCTCCCTGAATTGTACTCTACATGGGGAGAATCAGTAATAAATACATTTGCCAGCCATCTTTCCTTCTTGTATCCTGAAGAGTAATAGGCATTTCCAATGGAAAAGACTCAACTATATAAGAACTGTTGTGGTTTTGAAAAATCAGATCAATATTTACAGCTCAATGAGAACAAGGAGTAACGTACCTCTCAATACTTAAACATACATGAATTCCAGAGTCACCACAATCTCCACACAAATTCATTCCACACCCCACCGCCCCGTTTTTTGTGGGGGTTTTTTCAGATAATGACGATACAATTCTAAGTACATTTTCTCCATCTCCAAAGTGATTTAGGTGGTGAAAAACTCTATGTTCTTCCTGAGCACTCAGAGAGGCTGACGAGGAAATTATCTAAATCATGCAGGCAGCGTCTGTGTTAGGGGAAAAGGCCCTGCTGCTCATGAAAGTGACCCGGAGTCAATGGGCATCTCTGACTGCTCATGCCAACTGCCTCTGACTGCATCACAAAGATGAAAGTCAAATCAAACTAGGTTCAAAACCCAGCTCCCACTTATTTGCTGTGTGACCCTGGATAGTCACTTAACCTCTCTGAGACCCAGCTTCCTAATGACCATCTCGTCAGAGAATTGTTGTGAGGCTCTGTCAAGTGCCTGCTGCATCACGGGAAACTCAAGAAAAATGTGACTTCCTCCTCCCCACCTTTTCCCTCCTGGGCCTCCTGAACGCTGTCTCCCCAAGAGGCGTGCCTGTCAATCTCAATGACAGCTGGGAAAAATCATTTCCCAATATTTTGAGACAACAAACAACGAAGCCTATTATTCAGTGGGAGCTTACTTAATGCCAGGCTTTACAAGAAGCTCTGTTTATATTTTCTTTGATTCTCACTCAAGCCTAAACACTGACATAAAGAGACAGATTACTGCAGTTTACAATGCAGGCTCTGCAGCCAGACCACCAGGCACTTACTGCCTGTGTCACCTTAAGCAAGTGACTCAGCCACTCTGCTGGTCATCATGTTCTTCTTTCTGTTGTTAAAGGATGATATAGCATTTACCTCCTAGGTTTGCTGAGGGGATTACCTAAGTCAATATATGTAAAACGCTGAGAAGGGTGCTCACATGTGGTAAGCCCTCCACAAATTGTTAGTACTGCTGTTGTTATTGCAATTACTAGCCAAGCAGGTATCACTAGCCTCGTTTTACAGAGGCAAAGGCTCAGGGAAGGCAAATGCTTTATCCAAGGTGACAAAGCTAGTAAGTGACAGAACAGGGACTGAACCCAGCACTGTCAGTTACACTGGCAGCCCAACACACTGGGGGGCACTTACTGGGAAAAATAAGATGAATGAGCAAGATTAGGTTAAGTCTCTTAAAAGTCTCACTATCATCTTGTTTGTTTGTTTGTTTGTTTTAATCCTCACCCGAGGATATTTTTCCATTGATTTTTTAGAGAGTGGAAGAGAGAGGGAAAGACAGAGAGAAATATCAATGTGAGAGAAACACATTGACTGGTTGCCTCCCGCACGCACCCCAAGGAGGGCCCAGGCAAGGGAGGAGCCTGCAACCAAGGTACATGCCCTTGACCGGAATCAAACCCGGGACCCTGGGGTCCACAAGCCGACTGAGTCAAATGGGCTAGGGCAGTCTCACAGTCATCTTAACTAAAATTCAGAACTTGGGCTCAGAGCCCCTTCTTTTGGTCCCAGCTCTACTACTAATGACGAGGACTACTTTCTCCCCTTCTCTGAGCCTATTTCCTCATCCATATGATCGACCTAATATCTATACACGCTCATGAACAAGGGCTGAACTGAACATCATGACTGAAAAAGGCCATTGTTAGCTGCAAATTACAGTACAAATGTATTCACTCTTTGTATCCAGAAACGCTTTTTGGTGCTATTTCTCCTCCTACCTGCTTAGAAAAATCAAGGTTTCAGGTAGAAAAAGTGAGATGAAACAACAGACTTCAAAGACCAAGAACTAAATAATTAGTTTACTTAATATTAGCTTTAATGGAGGAAACCTGTTTAATACCTAGGAAGCATCTGACTGGGATCAGGAGGAGGAGCTACATACAGAGCCTCCAGACAGGTCCTCAGTCAACACCAGTGGATGGTGGCGTGGAGGCTGGACACGCGGGGCGGGACTGCATGGACACACAATGACCTACAAGTCAGAAAATCTGGTTCCAGGCCTAGCTAATGTTGGGTGAGTGGCTTCCCTCTCTGGGCCAAAGTTTCCTCCTCAGTGAAATAAAGGCACTAAACTAGATAATAAGAAGAGTGGTGTGGCAAGAACACGGGGTTTAGAGACAGCAGTCTACATTTAAATGCAGGATTAAACCTGGACTGGTTAGCATTTCTCTCCATACCTCAGTGTCCTCATCTATAGAAATAAAATAATAATGGCCAGTTTTCAGGGTGAAAGGGTATAAATTCTTTATGCCAAGCGTCTCTGATGGAGCTGGAACCCCAGAGATATTCAATGAGGATGGCTCTCATGTCTGCGGAAGTTTATGAGGAAAGAAACACAATTCTGCCCACTCCGTTATTAACCCACTGAAAGAAACATACTCTCCACGGGGTCTCCAGACTTGCCTCTTCCAAAAGGAATATCCTTTTGGTTAGGAGATCTTCGACCTGCTGCACCTTCTTCTGAGCATCCTCTTTCACCCGCCGAACTTCTGAGCCGCCTCCTTCAGCGAGGCTCTCAACTGCTTTGCTGCAAAATGAGGCAAATAAGGATGACAGTCAGGTAGTGATTTTAATCACCCCAAGAAACAACAAATCCCCCCATGGGCCTGTGCTGAGCTTCTTTTTTATTTTAATTAATATTTGTAACTCAAAAACACTGACCATACAATATATAAATGTATTAAATCAACATGTTGTACCCCTTAAACTTGTACAATGTTAAATGTCAATTATGAGTCAATAAAAATACAAATTTAAAAACAAAGTAAGCATCATCTATACATCATCACGATTTTATCGCTTAACACACTAAAACACCTTTGTGTCAATAAATACAAATGTGTATCATTTGACTACATAATAATTTGCTATATGAAATGTACTATATTTAATCAACCCCTATTTTTAAAACATTTAAATTGCTTCTGATTTTATATATTTGTCTGATAACACTTACAAAGCTCTGAGAACAGTGGCCAAAGTACTCAACAAAGTATTCAACAAATGTCAGTGTTATTGTTTATTATTACTAGTATAAGCAATGTTGTGATGAAAAAGCATCCTTGTATGTAAACTATCCAGTGATTTCCTTAGGGTCAATTCCTAGAAAGGGAATTATAGGGTCAAAGTGTAAGTATTCTTTTAAGACTTTTTTGACAGCTATTGCCAAGTTTCCCACCAGGAAACTTCCAACAAAGCACACCTCCACCAGTGGTAGGAAAGGTGGAGAGCTGACTTGACAAACCAATGTACACAGAAAGTATGTAACAAAATGAATCTGAGGGATAAAGGTTGGTATGCTTCAGCAGGAGGGGAAGCATTTTATTTTATTTTTAAATTTTATTTATTAATTTTTGAGAGAGAGAGAGAAAGACAGAGACACAAAGAGAAACATCGATTTGTTGTTCCATTTATTTATGGATTCACTGGTCGATTGTTGCATGTGTCCCGATCAGAACTGAACCCACAACCTTGGCATATCAGGACGATGCTCTAACCAACTGAGCTACCTGGCTGGGGCTTGGAGGGAAAGCATTTTAAATACAGCACACTGCTATGTGTGAGCACTAACTACTACTTAGGGCATGAGGAGAAGAGAGCACGCAAGCAGCCCACACTTCGTGTTACTCTAACATGAAATGCAGACTTCACATCACTGTGGCACCACGGAATAAACATTCTGTCCTCCTGACAGGCAGTGGTGGGGATGGCACACCGAAATCAGACAGAGGACTACAACCACTGATGCCTTTCATCTGCTTCTCCCCAGAAGAAAAACAGTGTCAGATATGAATTTGGGAGACCTGTACTCAGAGCAGTTCTATTGGGTTTCTAAAATGATTGTGGGTTTCCAGAAGGCAGAATAATATAAGGAAATGGCTCCACCTAAAGCTGGTTTCTCAGAAAACTGCAATAGGACAAATCTATTCACCACCAGCCTCCCAAGCCCTGCGTTAGGGGTATGCAAGACTTTTCCGACCAAGAGCCATGTGATCAGACATGCACATGCACGGGCCATGTGAATTTTTGACTGAGAACAATGGAAAGTCAAGAGGGCCATACTTGCTGTCCAAGCCTCAGACATGAACTGCCTGCAAATAAAGGCTTTATTCATATCTTGTTTCCTTTCACCAACGAGCCTTCACAAGGCCCCAGTGTCATGATATCATTTTAATGGAATTCGATGTGGACAATTGGGAAGAAAGAACATGGGCTCTGAAGCAGAACAGATCTGCTTCCAAATTTGTACTCTATTATGGCCTCAGTGTGACTCTGGGTAAATTACCTCTTTCACCTCAGTTTCCTCATTTGAAAAATGAAGTGATGCCCTCTTAGAATTAATGTGCTAGCACATGCAGCGGCCAAAGCACGGGGCTCCTTCCTCTCTGATCTGAGTGCTGCAGGACAGCCTGTGGTCCCCGCGGCCACCACAGCGCTGCCTCTGCTAAGATGCTGAGCGGCCTCATTCTATCCTCTGCTGGTGTCCCAGCTGAGAACAGATCGTCCACTGGCCTGAACTAAGACCAAAGCTGCCACTTCCTGATTAATGCCACCAAGCGTCCTGAGCCCCGTCCCTCAGCTCACTTCTTGACCAGTACTGTAGGGGGTTCACATGACTCACAATCATTTCTGCCACTTCTCAAGAGGGCATTCTACATGGCTGCAAGAATTCTGGACTAAAGGGGAGGAAATGGGGGACAGTTGTAATAGTATCAAGAATAATTTTAAAAATAAAAAAGAATTCTAGAAAAGAAGCTTTCCCTTCCTGAGCCTTGGATACCGAATTTTCCAGTCCTCAATTTCCTCGAGCCACCACTAATGTTTTAGCCCTTGGGCTTCATAGAGCCTCCTCTAGCAAATGGCTCCATTACCCCTCCCCTACCCTCCACTCCACCCAGCGGGTGCAAATATACTGGCTCCCTCCTGTCCGCCCAGATCAAACCTTAGTGTTTTACAGTCAGCATCACACACATTGTCAAAAGGCCGACTATAATTTTTAACAAGTAACGGCATTATTCAGTTTGTTTGCATTTTAGTTATACCAATAAAATATACACCCAATAATAAATGTTCCAACTTTTCATTTATCATCTTTGTATTTTACAGTTACTGTAGCAATAAAATTTATACTCAGCAGTATGGTGCAATTTTCCTCTACTAATGGAATTATTATTTTTGTTTGTGTTTTAAAGCTACAGAGATAAAATTCACTCCTGCCAATATGTCTGCTTTTGGTTTTAATGTCCCCTTATGGTAACTGAAAAACAGAACAATGGAAAATCAGCGAACATATATGTTTACTTCACAGCGAGGCAGAGTGGGCTCCAGAGCCAGATCAGCCCCAACTCTGTTGCCAACTTGGGCAAGTTCCCTCACTCCCCTGAGCTCTGTTTCCTCTTCGCTCAAATGGGAATACTGGCTGCCTCACAGAACTGCTGTAAAGTCAGATGCATAAAGCATGTCAAGTGCCAGGCACAGGGTTAGGGGCTAAGAAGGATCTCAATAAATGTTAGTTCCCTCCCTCTGCCCTTTCCTTCCTCATAGAATTTGGGCCAACAGACAAGACAGAGAGCAAGACCTAAGGAGAGGAAAGCGGTCTAATCCAGCTTTCCACCCAGTACAAAAGAGAACTTCTATAAGCACCACTCTCGCTACTCTTGTTAACCATCAACGTTTCCTCTTTCTGTTCTAATTATAGTTCTTTGGAGAAAAACAGGGGCTTTTCCCATATCCACCACCCAACCCCCACCTATAAAAACAACCATAAAATTCAAAAAGGGAGTTGAGGGCATTAATAAAAGCTATTTTTCCATCAACAAGGTTGTATCACACACACACTGCCAAGTGCCGGGCAGGTAGAGGTCAAGGGAAAGGCCATTGAGCAGGTCTGTGGTAGACGGTGTGCGTATCCTATGGCAGGTCATCTGCACAAAAGCCCTAGGATGTAGGAACGACTGAGAAGCCAGGAACCTTTTCTAGTATCTGTGAACTGTGTTTGGGATTAAAAATTGGTGGAGAGAAAGCTGGAGCAGCTAGTCACTGTGAGCATTCTTAAACAGAGCTCGTGATCTGATCCCTAACCTATCCTTGCCAGCTCCCTTCCCATCCACCAAGTCCTGTTCATTTTGCTTCCTAAGTGTCTTTCCAATCCACCATCTACCTCCGTCACTAATCTGTCACCTACACTACTGTACTAGCCTTCTCACTCTTCCACTCCCTCTCCCTCTACCAAACATTTCCCATTCAGCATCCAGAGCAACCTTTTAGAAAACAAAACTCTAATTGTATCAGTTGCTTAAAACCCATGATTGTTTTTTCTTTGATTTTAGGATAAAGACCAAAATCTCTAATCAGGCCTCCAGACACTGCAAGATGAGGCTGAGCCCCCTAGGCAGATTCTATTTCCTCAGACCTGCACATTTCTTTCCCTTTAAACACTTTTCACCACCCTTTCACCTGATTAATTCCTACTGACCTCTCAGACCTCATCTCAAATGCTACTTCCTCAGGGTCTCTTCCCTGCTATCTATCTATATATATCAGGGGTCCTCAAACTACGGCCCACAGGCCACATGCAAATACAAATATTGTATTTGTTTCCGTTTTGTTTTTTTACTTCAAAATAAGATATGTGCAGTATGCATAGGAATTTGTTCATAGTTTTTTTTTTAAACTATAGTCTGGCCCTCCAACGGTCTGAGGGACAGTGAACTGGCCCCCTGTTTAAAAAGTTTGAGGACCCCTGATATATATAAAAGCCTAAGCAACCGGCCGGCTGGCCCGTAGCTATGACATGCACTGACCACCTGGGGGACAGACGCTCAATACAAGAGCTACTGAGCCACAGCAACTTTGCAGAGTGCCCTCTTGCACTCTGGGACCCCTCGGGGGATGTCAGACTGCTGGTTTCAGCCCGATCCCCACAGGCCAGGCCAAGGGACTCCACTGGTGCACGAATCCATGCACCAGGCCTCTCGTAGACATATACTTAGGTATCTACTCCCGCTGCTATAAGTTCTCACAGCTCACTTTATTTTTCTCACAGCTCTTCTCCCAGTTTGCGTTGATATATTTATTATTGAAGTATTTGATCCCCATCAGTCACACTAGAATGTAAGCCCCATGTGCCTGTCTGGCTCACCACTGCATCCTCAGGAGCTGAGGCCAGTGCAGCACAGAACAGCTGCTTAATAAATATTTTCTGAATAAACTGGTAAATAAGATCAGACCAAAGGGCCTTAAACACTAGTTTGGGCAGTTTGGAGAATCTTTGCATACAAAGCACTCTGCCTTGCATGCTGGCATGAGGAGTGTGCATAGCCTTGGTGAGTCTGGGCTTCCATATGTACATGCTTGACTAAAAACAAGTCCAAGTCAAGACCTGCAGCAGGCAGGGCACTGAGTATAAAACAAACCGAATTCTACTACTGACTTCCAGGCTTGGTAAAGTTGATTTGACTCCCTGCCTAGAGAATGGTGAGTGATGTGCCTCTAAAAAAAACTACAACAAAAATTAAAAATGTGTTAACCTGGTTTATTCATTTATTCATTTATTCATTCATTCATTCATTCCCTCAGAAAATACTACACATGCGAGGTCAAGCCAGGGCCTTCAGAATCCCTTTAAACCTCTAGAGCAGTGGTTGGCAAACTCATTAGTCAACAGAGCCAAATATCAACAGTATGATTGAAATTTCTTTTGAGAGCCAAATTTTTTAAACTTAAACTATATAGGTAGGTACATTGTTATTAACTTAATTAGGGTACTCCTAAGGCTTAGGAAGAGCCACACTCAAGGGGCCAAAGAGCCGCATGTGGCTCTCGAGCCGCAGTTTGCCGACCACGGCTCTAGGGTTTTTACAGAAATGAATGAGTTAATGATACACTTTAAGATCTGGATGGATCTCACAAATATATTATTGAGGAAAAGGACCAGACATATAAGGGTGCATGCATAGTATATGATTCCATTTCTAAAAAGTTCAAAAGGGGTAGAACTAAAGGTGATACTACTGGTCAGCAAAGTGGTCATCTTTGTGGCAGAAGGGTAAGTTCCCGGAGCACAAAGGGGACTTCTAGGGGGCTGGTGATGTGCTGGTTTCTGATCAGGATGGTGGCCCCACAGGTGTGTCTGCTTAGTGAAAATTCATTCTGCTACATGTACAAGATCTGTTCATTTTCCTATAAATTTTAAGTTTGTTGAAAAATAATTAAATAAAAATGAAGCCTCCTCAGAGCCCAGCTGGAGAACAAGTGGCTTAGAAAGCACAAGGTTCTATTTCACTGACCCACTTAGCCGCCACCATCAGAACCCCTGGGCTACCCGCAAGCTTATGACAGGATGACAGGTACTCACGAGGCTTTGATGAGCAGCTGCTCTCTCTCTTGGAGCTCACGCTTCAGACTTTCTACTTCCACCTTGAGCTCGATATTCTTTCAGACGAGATTAGGGGGGGAAAAAGAAACAGTGTAAAAACACAGGACAAACAAATGTCTACCGTGGGGAAACGGCTTTCAGCGTGGACTGACTACGCCATGCTCGTAATAGGCAGCCATTAGATTCAAAATCTCATTAGCCTCAGGGCACTGGGAAAAGGGAATTATTAAACACTGGTGGTCTCCAAAGAAAGCCCCGGATTTCTCAAGACTTGGAACAATTATGTAAATTTTCCAAGCTTCTAACAGCCAGAGCATTCAAACATTGAGGCATAAATGTCATACAAGAGAGGCCGATTTAAAAATTGTTTGCCCTCCACCAAGCAAATTTACAAGCAATTTCGCAGTTTGCCTTTACCATTCTAAGGCAATTACTTCTGGTTGTTTACCATCATGCATGTCCTGGTTGTAGAAGTGGAAACATTTTACAGCTTAAAAAAAATAAAACATGTGGCTGGATAAATGGGAACTCGTCATTGCCTATCTCCTTTCAATCTAAGATTTCAGGGTATTCACTTACAAAAGAGCCACAACCACGCAGGGCAAGCTGTCAGTAAGGGACACCACAATGTTCTCCAACCAACCATCTTCCTCTTAATTGACTGGAAGGAAGGGAGTCACACATGGCCTTGGACTCATCATTCACATGAGAATCCAAAGACAGAGTCTTTGGCAAGTGGATCACAACGTGAGACAGTTGGGGCAGTGGATGCCTTCTCAAACCAGTCCACAAATGTATCCCAGACGGAATATTAGATGAATTTACATAGTAGAAACAGGGATATGGGTGCACGGTTTGCAGAGAACTGCTATAAATCTAGGTTTCCTTTGAAATCTTGCTCCTGTTTTATTTTAGTAACTCGTGCCAATTTTACATTCTACTCCACAAAACATGTTCATCATTTTAAATAAAAATAACACATCCAGCCCAACTGGTGTGGCTCAGTGGTTGAGTGTCAACCCATGAACCAAGAGGTCACCAGTTCAATTCCCAGTAGGGGCACATGCCCAGGTTGTGGACTCAGTCCCCAGTAGGTATTGTGCAGGAGGTAGCTGATCAATGATTCTCTCATCATTGATGTTTCTCTCTCTCCTTCTCCCTTCCTCTAAAATTAATAAAAATATTTTTTAAAAACATAAAACTTCCAGTAAAATTTATAATCTCAGAGGACATCCCTCCCTCCTTTCAGCCAAATAGCTGTAGTATATACCCAGGTTGAGAAGTCAGCCAGAAAGGAAAGGTCATGGGCTTGAGACCAGAAGGACGTGGGTTCAAATTCTGCCTCCACTCTTCACCAAGAGGAAACTGTAGTAGTCAGTAAATGTTCATGTATTCATTCCTTCACTTCATAGATATTCACCAGTCCCTGTGATGGGCCAAGCACTGGGCTAAGCACTGAGGACCCTGTTATACAAAGCAGACACAGCCTGCCTTCATGCTAACGTCAAACAGAAACTTGGAAGTGTGAGCCTGTAACTGTCTGCAGAAGCACAAGCCCAGGATGTGAGGATGTAAGGTTTCTCCTCTCAGTTCCCCATGTGGCAAATGAAAATCAGTAAGCCACCTGACATGGGAAATTTTAGGACTAAGCGAGCTAACGAATGAGAGCAGCCTAAAGACAAGGCTCAGAATGTATTATTGTCTTCAACGCCAAACAACAGGAACTAAAGAAGTCATCCATACAGCAGAACTTTTTCCAGAAGAAAGTGATCTTTGATAAAGGACACTGAGTGACAGTGCACAATGTTTTCAACTGTGGTTTTGTGAAAAAAACAGAAACACCCTTCAACTGAGGATTCCTTGCCAGTCTCAGAAGGGCAGAGAACTGTGTAAGAGCTGATAGCACAGATTCTGAGTGCTATACTTTCTGATGAATCAACTGGCATTCCAGCCTAGCGAATTTAAAAGAACAGAGAGCTAATGTGTCCACTAGACTATTTTTCACAAGCCCAACACCTTAAGTTATAAACTTATATACATGGAAATCATTATTTCGAAACCAAAAATCAAGATACCTTATTAGCATAAAATGAAATATCATTATAAAGAAAGAATAGCCTGGTCAGGTGGCTTGGTTAGTTGGAGCATCATCCTGTACACTAAAGGGTTGAAGCTTTAATTCCCAGTCAGGGCACATGCCTAGGTTGTGGGTCGATCCTCAGTCAGGATGCATATGGGAGACGACTGATTGATGTTTCTCTCTCACATTAATGTCTCTCTCTCTCTCTCTCTCTCTCTCTCTCTCTCTCTCTCTCTCCCCCCCCCTTCCTTCTGTCCTCCCCCCCCACCCCCCACCCCCGTTCCTCTCTCTAGATTCAATGGGAAATATGTCCTCAGGTGAGGATTAAAAACAATTTTTAAAGAAGACAGAGGCTCTTAAGCCACTATAAAGAAAAGATATCCAAGATATTGTTAAGGAAAAATGCAAGATACAGAACAGAACATGCTTGCATTTATATAAAAAGGGGTTTATATATACACGCACGCACACACACACACACACACGCGCGCGCACACACACTTGCTTTTCTAGACATAAAATATCTTTGCCTGAGGAAATAACACTATTGGTTAGGCCTAGGGGACCAGAAGACAGGGTAGAAGAAAATCTTTCAGTGTATACCTTTTATGCTTTTTAAATTGTGAACCATGTACAACTAAATAAAAACTTAAATTGCCATAAAACTGCAATAACATCAGGTCATCTAAGCAGACAATGGAAAATAATAGCTGAAAGAGCGTGGTGCAATGAGGTAGGCAGACCTGGGTTCAAACCCACCACACATAGTAGCTATGACATCAAGCAAGTCACTGATCTTCCCTGAGCTTCAGTGTCCTCTCCTGTACGTGAGGATAAGCCCCGCTGCCAAGGGCTGTCTTGAGCATTAACATAAGGTGATGATGTACAAAGGCCCAGGACAGTGCCTGACCTTGCAAAGGCAATTAACACGATTTGGCTTCTTATCACCCTACACGTTCTGAGACAGATGATAACCATACTTACATATAAAATGTTTTAGGCTACTGGTTTGTCTTTAACATTTTGATTGCATCACCACTTCCTTCCAGAAAAGGGGACGCCCTCATTGTCTTTCCACCCCACAATGAAGGAAAAACATTGTGTCCTAAGGGACAAGGGAGCTTTTCAGTTCTTGAAAAGCCTCAGAAGTACAGTACAATCCCTCTTCAAGACAAGCCCATTTAAGTTCATCCACTGAAACTCAAGCAGAGTTCCTTTTCCTCCTTCAAAAGTTCCCACTGGTGCAAACTTCAGAAGAGAAAAAATGGAATAATTCCCAGGCCAAGGGCTAATCTACCGGAGAAAGCCAAGAAACGGGCACTGAAATATTGTTTGTACTCATGCCTTTTCAAGAAAGCCAAGTTCTTTTTTCAACTTTCAGAACCAAGGTCTGTTTTCAGGCAGAGGCCTGCAGGCCAAGACTTCAGATGGAAATTGATGTTTTTTCTGACAGTTCGTTATAAGCAAGCACATAAAGCACACAGAAGAGGCACATCACAGAAACACTGACAATCCTAACTCTCAGCTGCCCATGGAAGCCTCCGTGAGACAATGATGGTAACTGCCAGCACTGACTGCGTGCTGGGGCTTTTCATCTGTCCCCTCATTTTAATCCACACTAAGAACCCTACGACACAGTGATTATCACTCCCCTCTGGACCAAGCCCAGAGAGCTGAAGTGACTTGCCTACAGTTAGGCAAATTAGTTGATAACAATAAGATGCAATTCCACAGACATTCTATCATTTCACTGTCTTTGTCTAAATTATAAATAAATTTTAAAAGGCAACTGAGATATAGAAAATCAGAAGTTCAATTTTAGGAAGAGAAAAAGACTCCTTTAAAATTAATCTTGTATCTCTTTGCTTAATATTAAGGTCATCCTATTACCTTTATGCTCCTCATAATCAATTCAAACTAAATGAAGGCAGCTCCATCTACTCATGCTAACTCTGAGCGTAAACATTAATCAAATTTCTGCTTGGAGGACTTTGAGGAAAGACACCAGGGATGGCAGCGAGAAGTAGGACACTCACAGTTTTATAGATGTGTTCTGTGGGGCCATGAAATTCCTGTTGCATTCGTTCTTCAAGGAAATAGATGCGAAGCTTTAGGTTAAAGTTTTCTTTCTTCAATTCAGTGATTTGCTGGAAAATAAGCACAGATGGGTTATCAAAATAAGGTCAAAGGGATGTTACCTACATTAATTCTCAGAGCTCCCGAGGCTACAAATGGATTCAAATGTTACATACTAGAGAAAGCTTACCTTTACTATAATTGTACCAACCCAGAACTAAGTGGTTCCCTCTAACCAATCTGAGCATCAGAATAAACAATGACCAAGTAAAGAAAGAATTCAAGATTTCACACTGACAATAAGTAAAGAAAGAAAGGAAGAGAGAAATCTGTTATTTACAATATAAATCCAGTTAATAAATGTAGAATAATAGGAACAGAAAATCACCATTACACAACCACTATAGTAATAATTGACACAGGTTAGAATCATTAATGCTAAAATATTTAGAAGAAAGATCACTGGACAGCATGATATTCATTCACACGGTCTCAAGATATCACCCCACAGATGGCTTACTAATTACAAAAGGAAAAGGTACATTTAAAATTAAGAAACCTATCAGACACCACATTAATCAAGAGCATATACAGCCCTGGCTGGTGTGGCTCAGTTGGTTAAACGTCATCTGGTGCATCAAAGGGTTACTGGTTCAATTCCCGGTCAGGGCACATGCCCAGGTTGGGGGCTAGATCCGAGGTCCAAATGCATCCGGGTGCGTGTAGGAGGCAGCCAATCAATGTTTCGTTCTCTCTCCTTCTCTCTTCCTCTCTCTTTCAAATCAATAAAAACTATTTTTTTTAAAAGAGCATATATAGTTGTCCCTCAGTATCCACAGAGGATGGGTTCCAGGAACTCCCATGGAAACCAAAATCAGTAAATGCTCTCACCCTTTACATAAAGTGGTGTAGTATTTGAATATAACCTATATTTTAAAAAATATTTTCAACCAAAGTATTTTTAGTTGGTTGAATCCAGATGCAAAACACACAAATATGGAGGGCCAACTGTAGTTAAAATCACCCTGATAAGACAAACTGACATCTCGTGCCTCCTGAAATAAATCACTGAAAGGAAGCAATTTCACTTAAAATACTTCTGCCCTGAATCTAATCAAAAGTTGTTGATCAGATACATCCAAATTGAAGGACTTTCTGCAAAACAACAGGCCTGGACTCTTCAAAAATCTTAATGACATTTGTGGAATATAATGAACATTATAAACTGATGAACAAAAATAGATACAGAGACAAAGAAGCATCGATCAGACTGTCAAACTTCAGTGGGAAGGCAGGGGAGGGGTTGGAGGTGGGGATAAGAGATCAACCAAAGGACCTGTATGCATGCATATAAGCATAGCCAATGGACACAGACACTAGGGGGTGAGGGCATATAGCGGGGAGGGGGGGCGGGGGGTTAGCCGGGGGGAGGTCAATGGGGGAAAAAGGAGACATATGTAATACTGTATGTAATACTTTAAACAATAAAATAAAACTTTAAAAAAATCTTAATGACAATCTTAAGTAAAAAATGGTTAGGGAACTCTTACAAATAAATGAAGTACTGCCCGGCAGGTGTGGCTCTGTGGTGAGCATCAACCTATGAACCAGGAGGTCACAGTTTGATTCCGTCAAGGCATGTGCCCAGGTTGCAGGCTCGATCCCCAGTGGGGGCTAGCAGATGGCAGCCGATAAGTGATTTTCTCTCATCATTGACATTTCTATCACTTGGGTTGCGGGAAACGAGTTAAGTCGGCTCGTGTGAATTGCGCGTACTCTGCGGGAGCCGTCTTTAACTCGGTTCATATAGATTTGCGGTGGAGTGCGGGAAACGTGTAAACTCGGGCCGATTGTAACTGCGTATTACCAAATATTTCATTTCAATCGAACCCATACTTCAAAAGATATAGGCATTTTAACGCGCCATCTTATATTTTGGCGGGAAATTCACCCGACACCGTAGTGCTATCTCTCCCTCTCCCTTTCTCTCTGAAATCAATAAAAATATTTTTTTTTAAAAAGCAGGCACATAGTGCAATATATAGACCTTGTAACATAGAAACCCACCCCTGAAACCTGCATGTTCACACTGACCAATGTGACTCCAATAAATTTAATAAATAAAAGTAAATAAATAAATGGAAGTAATAGAGGCATGACAACTAAGTACAATGAAATCATACAGTGAATTGTGAATTTAAAAGATAAAGCTATGTGAAGATAACTGAGGAAATATGAATAACAACTTTATATTAGATAATAGTGTGATTTTGTAAGAGAATGTCCTAAGTAAGAAATACATGCTGAAGTCATTAAGGGTGCTATCAAGATGTCTGCAACTAACTCTCTAATGAATGAAAAAAAAGGAATCCACCAAAAAATTATTACAACTAATAAATGAATTCAGTCAAGTTGCAGGATACAAAATTAATATTCAGAAATATGTTGTGTTTCTATACACAAATAATGAACCATCACAAATTAAGATAACAACCCCATTTACAATTGCATCATAAAGAATAAAATACCTAGGAATAAATTTAACCAAGGAGGTAAAAGACTTGTACTCTGAAAACTATAAGACACTGATGAAAGAAACTGAACAAGACTCAAGTAAATAGAAGGCTATACCATGCTCATGGATTTGAAGAATCAATATCATTAAAATGTCCACAGTACCCAAAGCAATCTATAGACTCAATGCAATCCCTATCAAAATGTCAATGGCATTTTTGACAGAACAGAACAAAGAATCCTACAATTTATCACAAAGGACACTGAATAGACAAAGCAATCTTGAGAAAGAATTACCAAGTTGGAGGTATTATGCTCCCTGATTTCAAACTATACTATAGAGCGTTAATAGTCAAAACGGACACATAGATCAACGGAATAGAATAGAGAGCCCAGAAACAAACTCACACTTATATGGTCAATTAATCTATGACAAAAAAGGCCAGGTAAAATTATATAATTTTTAGAAGAATACATAGGGGCAAATCTTTGAAACATAGGGCTCAGTAGAATTATTAGATATAACAGTGAAGGTATCATCCATCAAAAAAAAAATGTTTAATCAATAAACTGGGCTTCATCAAAATTTAAAACTTTTTCTCTCAAAAAAAGAATGAAAAGACAAGCAACACATTAGGACAAATATTTACAAATCACATATTCAACATAGAAACTGTAGCCAGAACATGAATAACTCTCAAAATGTAACTATAAGCAAACAACCCAATTTTAGCCATTAGGAAAATGCATGCAAATTAAAACTACAAAACTACTATGCACCTACTAGCCTAGCTAAAAAAAAAAGTTATAATTGATAATATCAAATGCTGATGAGGATGTGAAGCAAATGGGGTTCTCATACTCTGCTGATGAGACCGCAAAATGGCACAACCCATCTGGATAACAGTTTGGAAAACTATACTCGTCACATTACTCAGCAATTCCATCCCGAGATATTTACCCTAAAGCAGTGGTCAGCAAACTGCGGCTCGCGAGTCACATGCGGCTCTTTGGCCCCTTGAGTGTGGCTCTTCCACAAAATACCACGTGCGGGCGCGCATGTACAGTGCAACTGAAACTTCGTGGCCCATGCGCAGAAGTTGGTATTTTGTGGAAGAGCCACACTCAAGGGGCCAAAGAGCCGCATGTGGCTCCACAGTTTGCCGACCACTGCCCTAAAGAAATGAGAACCTATGTTCACACAAAATCCTGTATGTGAATGTTTACTGCAGCTTCATTAACAATCACCAAAACACAGAAAGAATCCAAATGTCCTTCAAAGGGTGAAAGACTAAATAGTATGCATGCATATGATGGAATAATACGTGGCTACTGTGATACACACAACATGAATATATTTCAAAGACATTACACTGAGGAAAAGAAGCTAGCCTCAAAAGATTACAAACTGTATGATTCCATTTATGTGACATCTGGAAAAAGCAAAATTATAGGGACGAAGGACAGAACATAATAGCTGCTAGAGGTTTGGGGTAAAGAGAAGGTTTGACCACAAAGAGGCATGTGGGCATTATGGAACTAATTCTATATTCTGATTGTGGTGATGGTCACATGAACCGAGAAGAGTATACACATATTAAAAAATTATAACTATATACATTTACATATTATATCTTCATTATGACAGAGGTTACAAGAGAGTATACTCATCCAGCACATCCAACTCTCATCCAAAACTCAAAATTGGTAAATTTTACGTAAATTATATCTCAATAAGTTTAATTTAAAGTAACAAAAAAGAAATATAACAGAATATTAATAGCTGTACTAGAATGCCTAATATCTCCACACATATCACTCAGGTTTTTTTCCAGCACTTTAAAAAACAATTGGTAATAGCATATAATACTTTTTTTAATAAACATACTTTTATGACTGGATAAAAGAAAATAATAAGCATACTCTGTATTATATTTTCAAGCTGTCTGCCCGTGGCCCTCTTGTTAACAATTTTGTGGCTAACAAGAACAGCACAAGAAACAATTGGTAGGTTCATTAAAGCCTCCTTTTAAATGTTGTAAGGAAACAGCACATAAAACATTCATTCAAACAAAAAAGTCTACCCTGCCAGCTGCATCCTATAAAGAGAAACCTTATTCTGTTACTCAGCTACCAATAAAATATTTATGGAGCTTGCTCAGAATGCCCACATTGTACACACTGCTGAAATTCTTAACACCACTTGAAAAAATATTTGTCCTATTCATAGGTAAAGACATTTTCTTAAAAAATAGGAGAAAGGTAAATAAGCCTCAGAAGCTCATTGCCAATGCCAGACTGGCCCAGAAGACATACAGGCACTATCTATTCAACAACAATGCCAGTCTAGTTCTCTGCACTTCCCTCATCAAGTTTTCTCTGACCACCCCCACCAGGCTGAACTGGGAACCCTTCTAAATATTTCCATATACCCTCCACTTTCTTCATCATAACAGTTATCACAGGGCTTTGTACGAGCTGGTTATTTGCCTTTCTACCCAAACCATCTCTAAGACATCAGGAACTATATCTTCATGTGCATTCTAGTCTAAAACAT